TCTGATGTTACTAATTTTCTAACCGGAGGACTCCCTTTAGTATTTCTTGTAATTTTGGTTTGGTTTTTGCAAATTCCCTAAACTTCTGTTTATCTCGAAATGCCCTAATTTCGCCATCATATTTGAGAGACAGTTTTGCTGGATATGTAATTCTTGGCTGGCAGTTTTTTTCCTTCAAGGCTTTATATATGTCATCCCATTGCCTTCTTGCCTGCATGTTTCTGCTGAGTAGTCCGAGCTTACTCTTACTGACTCTCCTTTGTAGATGACTTTTTGTTTATCCCTAGCCGCTCTTAAAATTCTCTCTTTATCTTTGGTTTTGGCAAGTTTGACTATGTCTTGGTGACTTTCTTTTGGGATCTACCTTATGCAGGGTTCAATGAGCATCTTGGGTAGATATCTTGTCATCTTTCATGATATCAGGGAAGTTTTTTGCCAACAAATCTTCAACAATTCTCTCTGTATTTGTGTTATCCCCCCCGCCCCGTTCTGGTACTCCAATCACTCGTAGGTTATTCCTCTTGATAGAGTCCCACATAATTCTTAGGGTTTCTTCATTTTTTTAAATCCTTTTATCTGATTTTTTCCTCAAATAAGTTGGTGTCAAGAGCTTTATCTTCAGCTCACTAATTCTGACTTCCATTGCCTCGATTCTGCGACTTTCTATTGGGTTGTCTAATTCTCAAATTTTATTGTTAATCTGGATTTCTGATTGCTGTCTCTCTATGGATTCTTGCAGTCTGTTATATTTGTCATTATGCTCCTCTCTAATCTTTTTAATTGCTTCTATTGTGTGTTCTGCATTTTGCTCAATTTCCTTCCTAATTCTTGAAGAGTTCTGTATATTAGTCTTTTGTATTCTGCCTCTGGTAATTCCAAGAAATTTTCCTCCCCTGGAAAATTTCTAGATTCTTTATTTTGGGAGCTTGCTAAGTCATCATGGATTGCCTCTTTATGTGATTTGATATTGACTGCTGTCTCTTAGCCATCAATAAGTTATTATATTTATTTTATGTTTGTTTACTGTGTCCTAGCTTTTTGTTTTGTTTTGATATGCCCAAATAGGCTGCTCGTGTGAGCCAGTTTGATTATTGGCAGCTTTGAAGTTCTAATGTCCTGTCACCAGGTGGTTAGATCTGTTATAGGTATGTGAGCTCAGGAGTCCACCCACTCTTCCTGTATAGATTCCGCTCAGGTGCCCAGGTAGATAGCCACCAAGTGCGTGGTGTAGGCTCTCACTTACAGTCCTAGACAGGCATGGGTGATTGGTGTAGGCACAGGCATCTGGCTGCAGAGGGGGGACACAGTCTGAGCAAGGCAGGGGGCTGACGGCCACCCCCGAGTATCTAGGAGGAATGCGTGTCCCTGTTCCCTAGAGCGCGTAGGTGGGTCAGTTTTGCAGCCAGACTATGAGCACCTAATGCTGTTGGCTGTAAGGACCAGGGGGCACCACTTATTCATGGGCCCCTCTTGCAAGTGGCTAGGTGGCGTGGGTGGAGCCACCAGTCCTCAGGCACCTGATGTGGGTAGGTGAAGACCCTGCTTAATTGGCAGAGCAGTGTCAAATGTCAAGAACCTGCCACTTCACAGCTGAAACAGTTGAAGTTAGAGTTCCAGTATATACCCTGTTGTAGTACAGTAATGAGCACCTACGCTGTTGAGATGGGCCCACCCAAGTCTATGTAGGGGGAAAGGCACTCAAAGTCCATAGATCCTTTATGCCTGTGCCTAGGCAAAGGAGCTGTGCCTACCCTGGGTTCCAGGCTTAGGAGAACTGGCAGTTTATTTTTTCCCCTGTTTGTTAATTTGTTCCCTCTCCAAGGCAGGGAGAATGGCTCTGGGCATGTGACGGATCCTACTTCCAGCCCAGGGAACTCGGTAATTGCTGAAGCAGGTCCAGGACCCAGTGCAGAGCAGAACGGGAAGGTAAATGGGAGAGAAGTTTTTCCCTAAGGGGGTTGTTTTTGATCCACGCAGTAGGCCATACACAATTACTTATCTTTCACCGGATTGAGGGCTGCTTCTCACTGGTTCTGGGTGGCCGTGTAGACTCTCTGGTGCTGGGTCCCTCCCTGTGCAGAAAACATGCCTCCCGAGCACCGCAGCTTGCCTGCCTCACCACTCATCCACGAGCTGCTCAGGCCTGAAGGGCTCAGGCTCTTGCTGAGTCAGGTCTGGCACCTCTTCGCTGCTTCCAAACCATCTCTCCCTCCCCCTGCCACTCAGTCCAGTTCCTCAACTCTGCCTTTGATGTTCAGGGCTCCCAGATTGCCATATATAATCGAATCACTTGTTTTTCTGGGTCTTTGTTGTAAGAGGGTCCACCGGAAGCATCTGACTACTCCACCGTCTTGGCCTCGCCTCCTAGATGGAACATTTCTACCATCACAGAAAGTTCTACAGGGCAGCGCTAGTCTGCGGCTAGAACAGGGTCAAGGCGGCCATGGCCCAGCCCAGGGACGATGCAGTGCAGGGTTCTCAACTTACTCCCAGGTAGATGCAGAAATTACACGCGGGGCCTGATAGAAAGGGACAACACGCAACAGAGCTCAGATTCTTAGAACGTCCAGACTTACCAGACCGGTTGAGACTGCAGGACTCCCAGAGACTACCTTGAACCAAAATTTTCCCTTGAGGTCACCTTTTAGCTAAACAACAGATAGGCTCATAAAGTAAAGAATATTACCCGCAAGTACTGCGCTTCTGTAAAAAATCATCTCCAGGAGACCAAACAGTCAACAACGACTCTAAAGCAAAGATGAGAATGTAAGGGGCCAAGGGAAACTAGATTGATGGAAATGGAACAACCAGAATGGAATTAATGAGAAGGTCTATGCGTTATGACGAACGTCACCAATGTCACTGATCAACTTGTATAGAAATTATTAAATGGGAACTTAATTTGCTGTGCAAACCTTCACCAAAAAAAAAAAAATTATTAAAAAAAGAAAAAAGAAAGAAACTGCACACGGGGCGAGGGGTGTTGTGATGATACAGAAGAGCCCACAGACACGGGTCAAGTCCAGGAGGAAAGCACTGACTGTGCTGAGAGGGGACAAGCAAGGACTACATTCCAGGAGGAGGGCACAGCCTGGGCGAAGGCCTGGGGGAGGCTGGTGGGGCTGGGGTGTGGAGTTTATCCTGAGGGCAAAGGGGAGACTGAAAGGCCAGGAAGGGGCCCCTGATGAGGGAACCCCAGGATGATGGACACAGGGCCCTGCCATGACCATGCCGCCCCCCTCCCCCCCCCCACTGCACTCTGCTGGGTCTTACAGCTCCACCACGGGCTTCCACGGGGTGTCGTAGTAGACAAGGCTAGGGCAGCCCAGCTTATTGTATTGGTACAGCACCTTCAGGTCCTCGGTGGCCTTCTGGCCCAGGAAGTTGGGATCGTAGGCTTCCCTGAAGGAGAGCGGGAAGGAGAGATGGCATGGTGGTGAATTTTGTGTCAACCTGTCCAGGCTCTGGTGACTTTGGCCAAACACTCTTCTATACTCGGTTATGAAGTCGTTACATGTGATTAAAGCAGCCCTTTAAAAGAGGAAGCCCTTCAATGAGATGGATTGACACAGTGGCTACAGCAATGGGCTCAAGCATAACAATTACGAGGATGGCGCAGGACTGGGCAGTGTTTCATCCTGTTGAACACGGGGTCGCTAAGAGTCGGAACAGACTCGGAATCGACTTGACGGCACCCAACAACAACAACAACAAAAAGGAGCCCTGGTAACTCAATGATTAAGTGCCTGGCTGCTAGCCAAAAAGGTTGTGGTTCGAACCCACTAGCTGCTCCTTGGAAGAAAGACCTGGCAGTCTGCTTCCATAAAGATTACTGCCTTGGGAACCCTATGGGGCAGTTCTACTCTGTCACATGGGATCACTATGAGTCAGAATCCACTGGACAGCACCCAACAACAACAATATGTGATGACATCAGTTGACCTTAAGTAAAGCAGATGACCTCCCACAGTGTGGGTGGGCCTCATCCCGTCAGTTGAAGGTCCAACGAGTAAAAAGGAGTTTCCCTAGGGCTCTCTCTGTCTCCATATGTCTTGCCAGAACTCCTCCACCTACGGATCTCAGGCTTGCCAGCCCTCACAATTGTGAGAGCCAATTCCTTAAAATCAATCAATCTCTCGCTCTGTCTCATATAAATCATATATCCCACCCCGTCTGTCAGTTTGCTGTACTGTGAAGGCTTTCGTGTTACTGTGATGCTGGAAGCTATACCATCGGTATTTTGAATACCAGCAGGGTCACTCGTGGTAGACAGGTTTCAGCAGAGCTTCCAGACTAAGACAGACTAGGGAGAAAGGTCTGGCAATCGACTTCCGAAAATCAGTCAATGAAAACTCTATGGATCACAATGAATATTGTCCAATGGACACAAACATGCCAAACACCGTGAAGACGGTGAAGGATTGGACAATGTTTCATTACGTTACATATATGGTCACCTGAGCTGGAGCTGACTCAACAGCAACTAGAACAAACTGTATATATATATTATATATATAACACAAACCCTGACTAAGGTAGATGGGGTCAGCCCCCACGAGGTGGCTGAGACGCCAGCTGTCCACAACCCTGTATCTTCTCTCTGTAACTGGGGAATCACACTTGCGCCCCCATGCCGTGGGCTCTGCCACCTCCCCCTCCCCACCCTCCATGCTTTCTCTCTTGGCCAGGCGGTAATTTTGAAGCAATTCTCGATTCTTCATGGGCATTCTCTCCCCCTGGGTGATGCCTGTGCGGGGGTTAGAGGTGTTCCACACTCACTTCTCGATGATGTAGTAGTAATTGTCCTGCAGGGTCACGGGGTCCAGGATGCCTTTGGAGCAGGCAGAGAGGTCGCTGTGGGCAACAAGAAATTGTGAGAAGTGGTAAGCCCCATGCGGAACCCGAGCATCTTAGTTCTCTAGTGCTGCTGTAACAGAAATACCACAAGGGGGAGGCTTTAACAAACAGAAATGTATTTTGTCACAGTTTACGAGGCTCGAAGCCCGAATTCAGGGCGCTGGCTCTAGCGGAAGGCTTACTCTCTCTGCCGGCTCTGGGGGAAGGTCCTTGTCTCTTTCAGCTGCTGTTCCTCAGTTCTTTGCAGATCTTCATCTATCTACCCCTATCTGTGCTTGCTTCTCTGCCTAATCTGCTCCTTTTCTATCTCAAAAGGGGTTGGTTTAAGATACACCCTGCGCTGATATTGCCTCGTTAATGTAAAAAGAAAATGCTGTTCTCAGATGGGGTTACATTCATAGGTATAAAATCAAAAAAGCCAAACCCATTGCAATACAGTCGATTTCGACTCACAGCGACCCTATAAAACAGGGTAGAAATGCCCCATAGGGTTTCCAAGGCTGTAATCTTTACAGAAGCAGTCTGCCATATCTTTCTCTTGTGGAGCAGCTGGTGGGCTAGAATGCCGACCTTTTGGTTAGCAGCCAAGTGCTTAACCACTGTGCCACCGAGGCTCCTCTCCACAGGTACAAGGATTAGGATTTACAACACTTATTTTCAGGGGACACAATTCAGTCCATTACACGGAGAATTGGAAATCAGAACCCCTCACAAGTGAGAGGAGCAAAGTCTGGGAAGATGGACAGACCTCAACCCCAGCTCTGGCATTGGGCCCCTTCCCCAGCCTGCACACTGGCAAAGGAGCCAGGCTTGTCCTGGCAGCTGGGAGTGGCTTTTGGCAGGAAACTTGGACTCAGCTGTTGGCCCCTGGAAGTTTATCTTGCCTACCCTCCGGCACTGGTGGGGTGTGTCCAAGGCCGTGGGTCCCTGCAGCTCAGTGCCAGCCACAAATGTCTCTCAGTGGGAGACTGGTACAAGAAGCCCTGGTGGCTCAGTGGTTAAGTGCTCGTCTACTAACGCAAAGGTCAGCGGTTCGAACCCACCAGCTGCTCTTCCGGAGAAAGATGTGACGGTCTGCTTCCGTACTCTGTCCTATAGGGTCACTGTGAGTTGGAATCAACTCGAGGGCAATGGGTTTTGGGTTTGGGGGGACTGGCAGAAGGCAAGGGCAGCTCATTGGCCACATTGAGGAAAACCATGCAGCTGTTAAAAGGGTGCGGTGGCCGTGGCAGATCATTTAGGAAGATGTCCGAGGTAGAGGGTTAAGGAGGGGGAGGGGGTCAATCCAATGGCTATATGATCCCACTTCCATCGGGATGAAAGAAGAAAGAAGCACGTGAACAGACAAATCAAGTCTTTAATGCCCGGAGGATGCCAGATGAAGACATGGAGTGAAGATATCATTGCAGGGGGTGGGAGGGGCTTTCCTGCCCTACTTTACACACCTGTGCGCTGCTTGAGGTTTTGCAACAATCAGGTATGACTTTGCTGATGGAAAAGAAGACACCAGCTCAAACAGAGACCTGTGCACCAATGTTGACTGCAGCCCTGTGCACGATCACCACAAGGTGGACAGTATCCATCAACAGACGATGGATAAACACAGCGTGGTCCACTCGTACAATATGATTGGGCCATAAAGTGAAAACCTTATGAACAGCTGTGGAACATTGTCTGATGTAGAGCCATAAGATGAGCCCCTCAGGTTGGAAGGCACTCAAAAGATGACTGGGGGAGGGGTGCCTCCTCAAAGTAGAGTCGACCTTAATGACATAGATGGAGTCAAGCTTTCGGGACCTTCATTTGCTGATGTGGCACAACTCAAAATGAGAAGAAACAGCTGCAAACATCAATTAATAATCAGAACGTGGAATGCATGAAGTATGAATCTAGGAAAAGTGGAAATTGTCAAAAATGAAATGGAATACGTAAACAGTGATATTCTCGGCATTAGTGAGCGGAAACGGGCTGGTACTGGCCTTTTGTGGTTGTTCTCGTCGCACTTTAAGTGAAAGTTCACAATTCAAGTTAGTCTCTCATACAAAAATTTATACATGCATTGTTATGTGACCGTAGCTGCTCTCCCTATACTGTGACAGCACATTTCTCCTTTCCACCCCTGATTACCCGTGTCCATTCAACCAGCTCCTGACCCTCTCTGCCTTCTCATCTCACCTCCGGACAGGAGCTGCCCATTTAGTCTCATGTATCTACTTGAGCTAAGAAGCCCACCCTTCATGAGTATCATTTCATGTCCCATAGTCCAGTCTAATCTTTGTCTGAAGAGTTGGCCTCAGGAATGATTTTAGTTCTTGGTTGACACAGAGTCCGGGGGCCATGCTTTCTGGGGTTCCTCCAGTCTCAGTCAGACCATTAAGTCTGGTCTTTTTACTAGAATTTGAGTTCTACGCCCCACTTTTCTCCTGCTCCATCAGGGACTCTCTGCTGTGTTTCTTGTCAGGGCACTCATTGGTGGTAGCCGGGCACCATCTAGTTCCTCTGGTCTTAGGCTGATGCAGTCTCTGGTTTATGTGGCCCTTTCTGTTTCTTGGGCTAATACTTTCCTTGTGTCGTTGATGTTCCTCATTCTCCTTTACTCCAGGTGGGTTGGGACCAATTGATACATCTTAGATGGTCGTTCACTAGCTTTTAAGACCCCAGACACCACTCACCAAAGTGGGATGCAGAACATTTTCTTAATAAGCTTTGTTATGCCAATTGACCTAGATGACCCCTGAAACCATGGTCCCCAGCCCCCAGCCCCAGCTACTCTGTCCCTTGAAGTGTTTAGCTATGTTCAGGAAACTTCTTAGCTTTTGGTTTAGTCCAGTTGTGCTGACTTCCCCTGTATTATATGTTGTCCTTCCCTTCACCTAAGATAATTCTAGTCTACTATCTAGTTAGTGAATAACCCTCACCCTCCCTCCCCACCCTCGTAACCATCAAAGAATGCTTTCTTCTGTGTTTAAACCTCTTCTTGAGTTCTTATAATAGAGGTCTCATACAATATTTGTCCTTTTGTGACTGACTAAATTCACTCAGCATAATGCCTTCCAGATTCATCCATGTTATATTTCATGGATTCATCATTGTTCTTTATCATTGCATAGTATTCCATTGTGTGAATATACCATAATTTGTTTATCCATTCATCCGTTGATGGGCATCTAGGTTGTTTCCATATTTTTGCTGTCATTAACGGTGCTGCAATGAACATGGGTGTACATACACCTATTTGTGTGATGGCTCTTATTTCTCTAGGATATATTCTAAGGAGCAGGATTGCTGGATTGTATGGTGGTACTTGTTTCTTTTTTTTTTAATGAAGGTTTACAGAACAAATAGTTTCTCATTAAACAGTTAGTACACATATTATTTTATGACAATGGTTAAAAATCCCATGACATGTCAACACTGTCCCTTCTCAATCTTGGGTTCCCTATTACCAGCTTTCCTGTCCCTTTCTGCCTTCTAGTCCTTGTCTAGACTGTTGTGCCCCATTAGTCTCATTTTGTTTTATGGGGCTGTCTAATGTTTGGCTGAACAGTGAACCTCACGAGTGACTTCAATACTGACCTACAGGGTGTCTGGGGGCCATACTCTCGGGGTTTCTCTAGTAAGTCTGGTCTTTTTTTGTGAGTTAGAATTTTGTTCTACATTTTTCTCCAGCTCTGTCCAGGATCCTCTGTTGTGATCCCTGTCAGAGCAGTCAATGGTGGTAGCCAGGCATCATCTAATTGTACTGGACTCAGGCTGGTGGAGGTCGTGGTAGTTGTGGTCCATTAGTCATTTGGACTAATCTTTTCCTTGTATCTTGTTTTCTTCATTTTTCCCTTGCTCAAGAAGGGGTGAGACCAGTGGAGTATCTTAGATGGCTGCTCACAAGCTTTTAAGACCCCAGATGCTACTCACCAAGGTAGAATGTAGAATATTTTCTTTATAAACTGTGTTATGCCAATTGAGCTAGATGTTCCCTGAGACTGTGGTCCCCACAGCCCTCCACCCAGCAATTCGGTCCCTCAGGGAATTTGAATGTGTCTATGGAGCTTCCATGACCTTTCCTTGTACAAGTTGTGCGGGGTTCCCCAGTATTACGTACTGTCTTACCCTTCACCAAAGTTACCACTGATTTATTGTCTGTTTAGTATTTCTCCCCCCACCCCTCCCATCCCTTGTGACCAACAAAGACTGTTTCTTTTTGTGTGTAAACTTTTTCATGAGTTTTTACAGTAGTGGTCTCATACAATATTTGTCCTGTTGTGATTGTCTTTTCACTCAGCATAATGTCCTCCAGTTTCATCCATGTTACGAGATGCTTCACAGATTCATCATTGTTCTTTATCGTTGCATAATACTCCACTGTGTGTATGTACCACAGTTTGTTTATCCATTCATCTGTTGATGGGCATCTCGGTTGTTTCATATGGTACTTCTATTTCTAGCTTTTTAAGGAGGCACCAAATCGATTTCCAAAGTGATTGTACCACTTTACATTCCCACAGTGTAAAAGTGTTCCAGTCTCTCCACAACCTCTCCAACATTTATTATTTTGTGTTTTTTGGATTAATGCTAGCCTTCTTGGGGTGAGATGGTATCTCATTATAGTTTTGATTTGCATTTCTCTAATGGCTAATGACTGTGAGCATTTCCTCATGTGTCTGTTAGCCAGGTATTGGCCATTTTGAATCAGACAATCATATGGTCTACTGTGTTCGGAATGACAACTTGAAGAGGAATGGCATTGCATTCATTGTCAAAAAGACCATTTCAAGATCTATCCTGAAGGACAATGCTGTCAGTAGTAGGATAATATTCATAAGCCTACAAGGAAGTCCAGTTAACATGACTATTATTCAAATTCACGCACCAACCACTAAGGCCAAAGATGAAGAAACTGAAGATTTTTACCAACTTCTGCAGTCTGAAATTGATTGAGCATGTAATCAAGATGCATTGATAATTACTGGTGATTGGAATGCAAAAGTTGGAAACAAAGAAGAAGGATTGGTAGTTGGGAAACATGGCCTTGGTGATAGAAACGGAGATCCGACTCTGGAGATCAGATGACAGAATTTTTCAAGACCACTGCAAATACCTTTTTTCAACAACATAAACGGCGACTGTACACATGGACTTCGCCAGATGGAATACACAGGAATCAATTCGACTACATCTGTGGAAAGAGATGATGGAAAAGCTCAATATCATCAGTCAGAACAAGGCCAGAGGCCGACTGCAGAACAGACCATCAATTGCTTATATGTAAGTTCAAGTTGAAGATGAAGAAAATTAGAACAAGTCCACGAGAGCCGAAGTATGACCTTGAGTATATCCTGCCAAAATTTAGAGACCATCTCAAGAATAGATTTGATGCATTGAACACTAATGAGTAAAGGTCAGATAAACTGTGGATGACATCAAGGATGTCATACATGAAGAAAGCAAGAGGTCATAAAAAAAGACAAGAAAGGAAGAAAAGACCAAAATGGACGTCAGAAGAGACTAGCGAAAGGAAGAAATGATGAAGTAAAAGAGCTGAACAGAAGATTTCAAAGGGCAGCTCAAGAAGACAGGGTAAAGTATTATAATGATATGTGCAAAGACCTGGAGATAGAAAACCAAAAGGGAAGAACACCCTCGGCATTTCTCAAGCTGAAAGAAACTGAAGAAAAAATTCAACCCTTGAGTTGCAATACTGAAGGATTCTACGGGGAAAATACTAAATGACACAGGAAGCATCAAAAGAAGATGGGAGGGATACACAGAGTCACTGTACCAAAAAGAATTGATCAACGTTCAACCATTTCAGGAGGGAGCATATGATCAAGAACTGATGGTACTGAAGGAAAAGGTCCAAGCTGCACTGAAGGCATTGGTGAAAAACAGAGCCCCAGGAATTGACGGAATACCAACTGAGATATTTCAACAAATGGATGGAGCTCTGGATGTGCTCACTCATCTATGCCAGGAAATTTGGAAGACAGCTACCTGGCCAATCGACTGGAAGAGATCCATGTCTGTGCCCATTTCAAAGAAAGGTGATCCAAGAGAATGCAGAAATTATCAAACAATACCATTAATATCACATGCAAGGACAATTTTGCTGAAGATTATTCAAAAACAGTTGCAGCAGTACATCGACAGGGAACTGCCAGAAATTCAAGCCAGATTCAGAAGAGGACGTGGAACCAGGGATATCATTGCTGATGTCAGATGGATCTTGGCTAAAAGCAGAGAATACCAGAAAGATGTTCACCTGTGTTTTATTGACTATGCAAAGGCATTCGACTGTGTGGATCACAACAAATTATGGATAACATTTCGAAGCATGGGAATTCCAGGACACTTAATTGTGCTCGTGAGGAGCCTGTACACAGATCAAGAGGCAGTCGTTCGTACAGAACAACGGGATACTGCATAGTTTAAAGTCAGGAAAGGTGTGCGTCAGGGTTGTATCCTTTCACAATACCTATTCAATCTGTATACTGAGCAAATAATCCGAGAAGCTGGACTATATGAAGAAGAAAGGGGCATCAGGATTGGAGGAAGACTCATTAACAACCTGCCATATGCAGATGACACAGTCTTGCTTGCTGTCTTGGAAGAAGTACAGCCAGAATGCTCCACAGAAGTGAGGATGGTGAGACTTCGTCTCACGCAATTTGGACATGTTATTAGGACGGACCAGTCCCTGGAGAAGGACATCATGCTTGGTAAAGCAGAGGGTCAGCGAAAGAGAGGAAGACCCTCAACGAGGTGGATTGACACAGTGGTTGCAACAATGGGCTCAAGCAAAACAACGATTGTGAGGATGCCACAGGATTGGGCAGTGTTTCCTTCTATTGTACGTAGGGTCGCTATGAGACAGAACCTACTTGACGGCACCTAACAACAACAACATAAAGAGAAATGAGGTTCTAACACACGCCACCACATGGATGAACTTGAAAACATGCTAAGTGAAATAAGTCAGACACAGAAGGACAAACACTGTATGATCCCACTTACATGAAATATCTAGAATAGGCGAATTTGTAGAGACAGAAAGTAGGTTAGTAGTTACCAGGGACTGGGGGAAGAAGAAGTTATTGGGGAGTGGGGAGTTATGGCTTAATGGGGACAGAGTTTTCCTCTATTCCTTCCTCTCTCTCTCCTCCCCTCCTTCCCTCCCTTCCTTTGCCTGTTGGAGCCTTTTGGTTGTCTTTTTTCATTATTGATCTGTGTTGTTAGTTGCCATCAAGTCAATTCTGACTCACGGGGATCCCATGTGACAGAGTAGGACTGGTCTATAGTGTTTTCAAGACAGACCTTTTGGAAGAAGATCGCCAGGCCTATCTTCTGAGGCACCTCTGGGTGAGTTCCAACTGGCCTTGCTTGCTTTCTTGGAAGAAGTACAGCCAGAATGCGCCTTAGAAGTAGTCAAGCGCTTAACCATTTGTGACACCCGGCCACCTAATGTTGATTTGTGGGAATTCTTTATAAATTCCGGATACAAATCCCTTGCTGGTTAGATATGTGGGCAAGTATCCTCCCCACTCTCTTTACAGCAAAAGATTTGCGTCTGGTTTTAAAAACCTTTCTTGTACATTTTTCTATATATAATGTATTAATTCCATAAAGCTTTCCCATTCTGGAAAATGAACACTGGTAGGATCATCATCTGGGTGTGTGTTCTTGCCCTGGCTCTGACTAGCTCCTGGGAGCCGACTGTTAAATCTTTAGGAATTTTGAGAGCTGGTTGACGTCTCACATTGCTAGTGTGAAATCAACCCAACCCACGTCAGCTCAGTCCAACCTAACCCAAATCAACCCAACCCAAAGGGGGCGTCTTCCTCCCTGGGCCCAGTCCATCTTCCTCGAGCCCTCACCCCACAGTTGCCCCTCACCACTCACTCGGGCCCACTGGGATTGTTGATTGGGAGGATGCCCGCCCCAAGGCCACATGACGCCCCTCCCTGCCATCCGAATCGGGAGCAGAGGAATCAGAGCTTGTTGTTACACCCGCACACCACTGCCCAAGGAAAAGGATGGCAACTTCTTTTTTTTCTTGGATTCTTGTGGCTCTATTCTCTAGGGTAGCTATGGATGCTAGGGGCAAATTTCCCAAAATTTTAAGCAAGAGATTAAAAACAAAACTCATCAGCAATTTTAATCAAAATGAGGAATTAGGGGACTAAAAGGAAGAAATAGAATGAGCACACAATTAGGGAAGAGGAAAGAAAATGTGACTATTACCAAAATAAGTGAAGGAAGGGAAACCAACATGCCATAAACTCAAACTCAAACTATTGTTACTAATTACTTAACTTTTCTTTATGGAAATGTTGAACATATACAAATGTAGACAGAATAATCGAAGATACCCATCTATGTACCCATCACCCAACCTCATCCCATCTACACACCCCACACTCCCCCCTCCTCCGATATCAATACCTGTCACCCAATCCCATCCCATCTACACACCCCACACTCCCCACTCCTCCAATATCAATGCACTTACTTCTGAACGATGATCTTCTTTTCCAGGTCACACCCAACTGAAACGAGCGCCGTCTACAGAGGAGAGAGACAGTGTGATGCTGACCCCGGGAGGGTCACCGGGAGCCCAGCCACAGTGAAGACCCATGCGGGGACACAGTCACATCAGGAGGCTTTGGAAACAGTGCTGCCTGGATCCCCTGCATGGTGACCTGAAAGCCTTGTTGTTGTTATCGTTAGATGCCATCAAGTTGATTTTTGACTCATAGTGACCTCATGTGACAGAGTAGAACTGCCCCATAGGGTTTCCTAGGCTGTAATCTTTACTGGAGCAGATCAACAGGTCTTTCTCCCACGGAGCCTGCCTGAGCTTTCAGGCATGGCCAAATTCCCCACCTGGTGGCTTCCCAGGGAACAGACCAGCTTACACAATGCACACAGAGGGCTTGGAAACTGTAAGTGAGTGAATGCACGCGTGAATGAATGGGCTGGAATAGATAAACAGAAAGGAAGAATGATAGAGAGTGATGTGGGTGTCAGGCTGACGGCCTTAGAGACATGTTTCTCTAAGTGGGGTGTGTGGCGCCCTCCGAGGTGTGCCAGGGGCTCAAAGCCACAGGATGAGGAGACTTTTGGCACCTAGAAACAGCTTTATATTAAGACAAACATGGGTTTACCATGGGGCAGAATGCATGATTCAAATCAAGTTTTAAAAGAAAGCCTCCCCCTGGCCCCCGGTCCTCCCCGGGTGCAGCTCATGCCCTCTGCCCTCAGTGAGGCTTTGCTGGAACCTTGGGGAGCTGCTGTCTCCTAGCATGCACCCTCCCTCCCCGCAAGGAAGGGAGATAAGGCATTCCATGCAGCGGGCACCACGTGGGCTCTGGGGGTGAGGTGGCCCCCACCGCCTCAACCTAAGAGCTTCTTCTCCTTGGACATTCTGCTGCAGGGCGAGGGAGGTCTGTGCCCACTCTTGTCGGCCCCTGAGGCCTGAGTGTAGACACCTTCGGGTATTGGCCCAGCGTGCACCCCTCATCTGACACCGGTCCTTACACTCCCACAGGCCCTGACTCACCCCCAGGGTAGGACGCCGCAATGTCCTCATGTGGGTGAGGAGACTCCAAGGCAGCTGCGGCTGCAGCCCAAACAGCCCCATTCCAGGGAGAGTGCCCAGCACCCAACCTCCCCTGTGACAAGCCAGCTGGGAACAAGCCTCAGAGAGGAAAACAACCCAACCCAATCCAACCCAACCCCAGTCAACCCAACCCAATCCAACCCAACCCAAGTCAACCCAACCCAATCCAACCCAACCCAAGTCAATGCAACCCAATCCAACCCAACCCAATCCAACCCAACCCAAGCCAACCCAACCCAA